GGCTCTGCAAGGGGGGGGGGGGTTCCCGGCCAGGCTCCCCCATCTTCTAGCCACACCGCCCACGGGGCTTGTGGTCTCAACTCTGACTCATGTCATCTCATCAGGACCCATCACCTCAACAGGGCCCTGATTTTGAATATATATATTTTTTAACGGCAGAAACTTGTCAAACAAGATCTCACACGGAACCCCACCAGCACCCTGCTGCTTCCCTAACCCCACCCCACCTTTCCTCCCACCCCGCAGCGACTCACCAGCCTACCTGCCCGCCTCCTGCTGGGCTGGATTGGGTGGGCCACACCCTTGAACACATTTACAATTTGACTTATACATTTTTAGGCTCCTGACTCTTAAGAGCAGAATGTGGGCTGTCCATACATCTTGTTGCGAACTTGAAAAATATTCTGAGTGTTTGAGCAGTTGTTTGAATTCACCTGAATCATGAAGTCCCTTTTCATTAAATCACTTCCTTCACAGGTCAGGGCACGCTTCGTAATCTAGACATATGCTGGGAAACACTGCTCAAGACTTGAAGATGGTGCTTTTCGGGGACATGCTGGGAGTTGACTAGTGGACCTTCCTCAGATTATCTGCCTCTGCAGGGTGGGTGCCTTTGACTGACTCCTACTGGCTGGGCCCTTTCACATCTCTGTGGGGCAGAGCTGGCCAGTAGAAAACCTATGAATTTTGTCTGGTCGAGATACAACCAATGTCCACTTCATAGAAAAGATAACCCCAAACAATGTATTTCATTGTTCTATAGGATATTATTGTTTTTGTATTTATTTGCAAATTCATTTCAGCAAATCTATTTTTCAAATTCTTCTTTGAATGGGTCTTAACATTTTACTGCTCTCCCCATTAGTTAATGAGGTACGTAAAATCTTTCATATGCGCTAATTTATGTTTTATATGTGCTCATCTTTTATATTTGCTTGAGTCATGATTTTAACTTTTTGAAAATTACACTTTATCATGTCAGAAGCAATTTCTACTCTCCTTAGTAGCATGTGGCCTGTTGTCTATGCAGGTCTTTTTAAAATATTACTGTGAGAACCCCATCTGGAATATATAATTGACTAGTCTATCCATAAATCACCAGAAAGATAAAGACTTGTCAAAGGGAATTACATAAATGGCTGACTGAGGGAAATCAGATGGAGACCAATTGGAAGTGAGCCTAGAGGGCCACTGTGGCAACAAAAGCATAAGAAACCCACGATTTGGAGATTTCATCAGACACTAAGAGAAAATCTGCTTAAAAATGTAATGTGTGAGGCTCCACACTGCTCTTACCTGTGGCTCCTGGGGGCCTAGGGGTGCACAGGGCTGGAGGATTTGTCCTGCTAAATGCTTATCGGGGATGGACTGAGAGGCAGGGGCCATGCAGAAACCACGCACAACAGGTGCCGCCGCTGGCCTCTTACCTGGGATTGGTAAGATTGTAGCAGGATTTCCAAATCTGTAGCATGTGCTTACAAGTGAGGAGCGCCTCATCCGGGCCCCGGCACAGCGACTCCAACTTCACTTTGGAAAACAGTAGTCTGTGGTGGGGAGATAAAGGGAGAAAAGAACACAGCTCAAGCCAGAGTCCCCACCAGAACAAAACAAAGTAGCCAGAAGGTCTGTACTCATTCTAGAAGGGGGTGTCCAAAGGCTGGATCCGAGGGAAGCAGTGGCAGGAGGGCTGAGGATTCCAGAACTCCAGGCTCAATATCTGCCTTTGCATAAGTCTCACCGCCAAGGCCAATGCCGGCACAATGCCACCACGTGTGGTCAGGTTAAACGTATCTGGAGTGGCTAATTTCATTCAGAACGCAGGGATTTTATTAAGACCGTGCTTTTTAGAACAAAGCCAATTTATTTGCAAAACTTCAAAAATGCATCAAAAGCGAATCTTGATTTATTTACAAAATTACACAGGCGATGTAATTATCTACATAAATATCTACAGATAACCTTCCACAATGATCCTCATCATGGGAAGGAGATGAAAGCCTGAACCGAGGGCACATGAAAAGGGGGCCTCGGGCTAAGGCCCTCTCCTCTTCCATCTTCTCCAGCCCTGCTCTGTAGGGGCTAGGACTTCACCAAGTCACCCATAGTCACCCACTACCTCTTCCCAATTTTTTTTTTTTTTACCACCGATGGCTTCGCGTTCCGCCCAGACTTTCAGGGCACTAAGCTTGGCCCCTTCTCCCTTTCGTGGCCCCTCAGAGCTGCCCCGCCCCCTAAGTCTACTTATGTCCCTCTAGACATCAGCTCCCTTGGTCCCTGGGCTCATCACTACCGGCCCTGTGAAAGCCCCAGCATAAGCCCAGGTACCGCCCTGAAGGTCTTGCTGTCCACTCACCTGCCCGGCTCTGAGAAGTCATATAATAAAGATCTCCAAAAATCATTTTCATTCCCAGCTCAAGAAACTACAATGATTCCTTACTGACTGTAATAATAAGTCAAAATTCCTTATCGAGTCCTTTAAGACAGGGGTACTAGTCCGCGGCCTGTTAGGAACCGGGCTGCACAGCAGGAGGTGAGCAGCGAGTGAGCAGAGCTTCATCCGCCGCCCCCCATCGCTCGCATTTCCGCCGGAACCACCCGCCCTGCCTCCCACGGCCCCCCACCGGTCTGAAGAATAATTGTTTTCCGCGAAACTGGCCCCTGGTGCCAAAGAGATTGGGGACCAGTGCCTTAAGACACTCTGCCTACTGGCCCACTCCTATGTCACCACCCCATTCAGTGCCATGGATCCCACTGGGCCCTTTACTCCTACCAATGTAATTCACTGGCCAAAGGCTAGGTTCTTATCATAACTCGAAGAATATATGCCATGTTCTCAATCTTTTTTTTTTTTTTTTGCGGTACGCGGGCCTCTCATTGTCGTGGCCTCTCCCGCTGCAGAGCACAGGCTCCGGACACGCAGGCTCAGCATCCATGGCTCACGGGCCCAGCCACTCCGCGGCATGTGGGATCCTCCCAGACCGGGGCACGAACCCGTGTCCCCTACATCGGCAGGCGGACTCTCAACCACTGCGCCACCAGGGAAGCCCATGCTCTCAATCTTAATCTCTACTAATCCACGTCGCTCCTTAATTCTTCCTAAATTCAGCTAAAACTCCACCTCATCAAATAAGTCTTCCATGGGTACCACTTTCACACCTTTATCTTTATGCCGTGTGTATCATATCAGCTGGTGTTTGTTGTTAATAAAAAGAAGACAAAGACAGGGAGGAACTCCTGTTTTTTAAAGGTCTTCTATGTGCTTGGCACTTTTACAAAACAATATCAGTGTTATCTTTGTAAGGACCCCTCTCAGTAGGGGGTTTTATCTCCCTTCAATAAAAGAACCCCTGGCCTCACTTCTACAGTGCTTAGAACTGTGCTCTGAGGCCAGTGGGCTTTTAAATCAGCACTTGCTCACTGACTATTTTCTCTATAAACTGCAGAAGGTAAAGAAATATGTTTCTAGTGATTTAAGTTAAGACATATAGGAGCTATGCCTCACTACTCATTTGAGGGCAGGCACTTCGGAGGAGGAAAGTCCGCCCCCTGCCCTGGGAGAGGTGGAAGGAGGGCGGTCCTAACAGTCGCCACCCAAGCTCAGGATGGGTTAGCACCAACCACTCCCTCCAGATGGAACACAGGATGTCCAAGGGGGAGCTGGTGGCTCCCAGAGGGGTCAGGGCTGCAGCCTTCTCAAGCCTGGGCCTGCAGAAGCCCAGGACGATGGAATAACAGGCCAGGTAAGGAGACGGATGGAGGCCCTGATCTACCAGCAGGTGGGCGTAAAGAGTGAGGCCAGATGTGAGAACAGGGCTTGGCTTCTGCTCAAAAACACCTCGAGAAGTGGAAATTCCCTGAGGCCTTTCCGGGACTGCCTGCAAGGGACGGCAGCAACTCAAGCTGTCTTGAGGGGTTTTTAAGGAGCCGGAAGCCAGCTCTTGCTGATGTCTTCATGAGTCTAGAAGGTGGTGGGAGTACTTCTCCACCAGAATCTCCCACATGACATGGGCCCAGTTGACATGGGTCAACTGGAACATGTGTTACAAAGGGAGGAGGAGCTGCCGAACGGTCACCTGCCAGCGTTTGGTGGAGACCTACTTGGAGGCCAGAGACCCTCGTGGATGAGGTCTGGGTGCCAAGCAATTTTGGCCAGGGGAGACCCCACAGAGACCACGATGTTCTCTGGAGGTGCACCGAGTCCTCTGGCTGAGTCAAGCTCGGAGCTTGCCAAGCCACGGAGGGCCACGGAGTCGTGGGGAAGGTTTCCCGGCCTGGCAGGCAGCGCTGCGGCTCTGAGAGCAATTATCCACGATTCCTCTAACCATACCGAAGTACAAAACACCAGAGCTCGTCTCTAAGCCACAGCTTGGGGGAACAGTTCTGCGCAAGGCTTCTTGGCTGGAAAAAGAACTTCTAATTAACATGAAATAACAGCTTTCAAACACTTGACTCAGGATATGGAGTTGAAAGGTGTGGGCTGGATTTCAGAGAACCAGACAGGAAGAACAATAGTAGAATTGCTGAGCCCAAATGATGGAAAGGGTACTTGGAAGTGAGACAAGAGGAGCAGTGTGAAGGAGAGGCTGACAGAGAAGAGGAGCTGAGGGCACAGGCTGGGGAGAGAGAGCAAAGCCTCTCGGCCACTGTCGGATGTGCCCAGCGCGATGGGCAGACAGTTCCAGGAGCCTTTAGCTCCGACATGTTCTTGCGTGCAAAGGAGAAGCAGGAGATTGGAGGCCTCAGAGACTCTGCTCCTTCTCGCCATTCCCCAGACCTCGGCTGGTTTATAAGGCAGAGAACAATGCCGAAAACAGAACAAGGGACTTGTCAACATGTTTGCCGAGCCCTGCTCACACATTTCAAGATGGTTCGAAAACATCTGGCTGGGTGCACGTTACACTGGCACAGACGTGAAGATAAGCGTTAATGTGCTGCGTTTGATGTCCAAAGATATTGTAGATTCCATCTACTGAGGAAACCCTGAGGCAAAAAACCTGGGACCAACCAGCACTGACTGCATTTCAATCTGTGGAACTGTCAACCTGATAGAGAGGGCAAAGGGATGGCCGGGCTGAGATCATTTGCCGGCCACATCACCCAGGACCCACCACAAATTAAGTGAGATGTTCCTCTTAAGTACAGTAAGGCATCACATGCTGGGAAAATGGTCTGTTCCTCTTCCCTGTACCTGGCTCAAAGTCCACTAATGTAATTAAAAAGAATTTTGCCCAGAGACTCATTGAATACTTACAGGATATTAATGAAGAATAGAACCTCGCTAAAATACCAATCTAACAATGTTCCTGGTAGTCCAAATCTAGCATCACGTGCAGTGCCTTTTACGATCTGGCTCCTGCCCACATGCTTAGCCTCTGTCTGCCCTCTGCCCGCCAGGTACGTCCCCTATTCTAGCCACGATCAACTTCCTCCGCATGTCACTCTCCTTCATGCCCCTGGGCCTTTGCACATGCTGTTCCTTCTGCCTGGAGTGCCTTTTCCATCCGCTTCTGCTTTTTAAGCCTCTACTCATCTGTTGAGATTCAGGTCAAAGAGCCTCCCCAACTCCCAACCACTGAAGCCAGCCTTAAGTAATAGGAGCTAAAACTCCCAAATGGAAATGCAATTCCAGAAAATACAAGAGCTCTCAACTGTGGAATAATAAGCTATAAGCCAGGAGGCTTCTGCTTTCAAGATGGGTGAAATAATAACAATAACGGCAGCAGCTGCCAGACGCTGTAAATACGTAATCAGCGATCTCTACAACAACCCTCCAAGTTAGGCTGAGAGCTAAGGAATCTGCCCAAGTTCACGTTGCCAGTCGCTGTTAGAACAGAAATGTAAACCCAAACCCATTTGACTCCAAACAGCCAAACAAGAAACAGAGGAGAATGACTTGAAATGTTCTAGCCACACTACTGACACTAATGAAGATATGTAGCATTTTCTAATCCATTGTTAAATATTTAAAACCCTAAAATGTGCAAAGATCTGTGTTAGATACTGTGTGGAATAAAAGTGGCATAAAATACAGTCCCTTGCCCTCGGAGAAGTTACAGTCCAATCAGCAGGGAAGACTTGCCACGAATATTAGGCAGGATTTCTGGCTTAGGGACAGATTAAGGCCCTGAAATCTGGGTAGGGCTGCAGGAAAAGTGGAGTTTGGGCTCCTGGCGTATTGTTCCTAGGATACGTCATACATGGTTCTTTAAAAAATGATCACATTAAAAAAAAAATTGATCACATTTGCCTGTGCTTTTTGTGACTTGCCTCTTTCACTCAAAAGTCAGGCACATATAAAATTCTAGACACTTGAAGGATGCAGTTAATCAAGGCTTTACTTTTCATTAAAACTAACAGAAACAATACTTTACCCCATTTTTGGAATTTTTTGAGAATCCCAAGATAACTCTTGAAATAACTGTCTGGCTTAGTGTAGAGCTTAGAAAGAAGATACAGGCCCCTGGTGAAGCTCTGGGGCCATGTGGCCTGGTGACTTTTCACTGGGCACCCTGGAGAATGTACCAGGGCCAGGTTTAATGTCTAA